AACAACTCTGAAATTAAACTAAAATAGCATTATTATTTGTTAATCCGCATGTTTTATTATACTCAACGACAGAGGAATTATAATTTCATTCATTAGCTAATTTTAGATAAAACGGAAAAAGGTATAATTTTTAAGGATTCTGCCGTTTTTCTTATTGTACTCGCACACTCAAGCCGCACTTTTTCAGCGATTCAATAATATTTTATTTTAATGTTTAAAACATTAAAGTCACTTCACTTGATAAATTATAATAATATGCACTTGAACCCTTAACGTGAACAACAACTCTGCTATAAGGAATAATAATACAAATATTGTTACGCATCGAACTAATATATTTGGTGCAGTACATGAGATAATTTTTTATTCTACAAAAAAATCTTATAATTACTATTTTAGCAATAACAGCAAATGCATGTTATAAATTATTTTTAATTAGAGATAAAAAATACTTGTAATTAATATATTTTTAGTTGTACAATGTACATATCACCAAGCGAATAAAACTTGTACATTTATACAAATAAAATTAAATATCAGCAATAACAGAAAAATTGGTTTTGAAAACAGTCAGTTGTTAATGTGAATGCTATTTACCTAGTAAAATTTAGTAACACTTGTGGCCGTATATAAATAATTAGTTAAATAACAAAATATTTAAAAAACCATTAACCACAAAAACTTGGGGAGACAGCGACACATAAATAGTTCAAACATGACGTTTGTACCAACTCAATAATTTGGTACTATCCCCTATTTATATTGCCAATGACTGTATTTGTATTAAATATTTGCACGTCTTGTTTGTTTTCCGTTTCAAAAGTTTTCCATTGAAAATCATGAATAATAGCAAAACATGCGAATGAACTTTATAGTACTACCAGACATACTGTTACGTCTCCTAAGACGACAAACAACCTCTAAAGTATAAAACGTTATTTAAAACGGCCGTTACTTAAATTAATATACTTTTTTTTAGAATTTTACTACCCCGCGATGATTACGGTGATCAGTGGTTACAAGTGGCCACATCGGACGACGTAGTGTGAGTGTGCGAAAGTTCGAATGCATAATACAACAGTCCAGGAATTGCCTACTTATATGTTTCAACCCAATCAATATAACAAAGTATTTCCAATACGTTTTGTCTATCCGACACAGCTCAAATAACCGTAACAACACTGATAAAACTACTATCCGCAGATGTCTTCAAATGCCAACCCATGAAGTTGAATTGCAAATACAAAATATAAACAGACAAATGTTATTTTTGAAATGGAACCCGAGTTAAAAATCACCGCCGCATAAAAAAAAACTTGTTTTTACACCAGCAAACCGTTTTTCGCTATCGAACCAATTGAAAATCAAAATGAAACCTACACAGAACCGTATAAAACAATATGTTAAAACTGATACCGTAAAATGTATACGCATTCCAATCGTTACTAGTTATTTTTATTCTCTTAAGTTCAAACGCTGTGAACTCGGTATCGACCAATCAGCAATACTCGATGGACAAAAGCGTATTAATTTTATCTAGATGGGTATACATTAAATTACATTGATTAATCGTTGTTCGGTTAGACTCTATGCGACGCCTGACCTCAAGCAAATTATTAACAAAAACCGTTGAAAGATTTCATCTAGTCAGTCATACGAGGTGATTAGTCCTATTATTATCCTAAGATAGTACTAACAAACTAAAATATCACCATAAAAAGAAATTTCTCACAGTATAATTTATAGAAGAAAATGGGCGATCGTATCCATCACCGATATATCTATCACCTTCTACCCAATACCTTTATCTTCATCAACCGTAATTTCATTTTCTATTCTACAATAATAATATCGCACACCTACTACAAAATTAAACTAAATATGTGTTTGCAAATAAATACACATGTAATATTATTATGTACCGCAATGGTTTTTAAACAATAGTATTTTTACCAAAAAGTTATAATTTTGAATTCCCCCTCTTTACATTTAACATTTTTTTTTTTTTTACTTTACTACTAAACGAAATCGTTAAGTACAAATTTTATTGTATGCAGTGACCTAAATGCATAAAATACCAATTGGATCTGTCGTGCGAACGGCCCCCGGAAGGTAATTCATTACTCGTGCAACCAAATAAATTACTACACAATACACCTCTCGCCGTCCCCATTCGATTCCTGTTTACTGACCGTTCGATATCGCACAGAGCTCAAATCTTTTACACAGCCGGTGTATTTTCAAAATTACAATATTATCTAGAATGAAATCTTCGACAAACTGGATGTGTTTCCATGGCCAAATTGTGTTATTCGTTTAAATTATGCAACAGATTTACGTTTAATAATTGTTAAGCATTTATTTGTTCATTTCACCTAACGAATAATAATGACATCCCTCGAGAGTACAGATAATTTTGTAAACAAGCAAAAAACAGTACAAAAATTATTTACACAACTGTTAATCTAGGGAGTAAAATTGTACTTTAAAATAAATGGACATGCTAACCACCTACGTATCTGATTTATATATTAATATGATGTTTAAAAAGCTATGTACAAAAGCTTGACAGTGTATACAACTAGATATAATTTCTTTTTCAGATCTTTTTCCTCATCGCGCCTGCTATTGATACACCTACCAAATTACCTCTCGTGTACTCATGTGTAGTATACATATATTATGTACTATCTATATTGTATTTCGTGCAGTTAGTTATTCTGTCCAGTCCAGTCAATCTACACGTTCATATCAATATTCTAGTTTTGGTTACTTCAATTTGGCTTCCGTCTCTCTGATTATAATTTATATTCATAACTTTAAAATAGGGGTTCGGAACGCGTTAATCACTATGGTAACTTAATGTTTGATGATAATATATGTTCTACCAAAGCATGGTCTTGTGTATGAATAAACTATCACAGACGAATATACTAATGACTTGTCTTCTGCCGTAGATTACATTGATAATAATTATTTACACGATTGACACGACGTTGGCCCATGCATTTCGCATGAAGTGAAGTCGGGTTATTATATGTACCTCGCCAGAGTGACTTATGGTATATTCTATATTGTGCTTCTTCCCGTAGGGAAGTCCATATATTGCCTCGGTTATACAAATAATGTAGATCACACTGGCGCGTATGATATACAGTGAAAAGGACTTTGAAGATTGCGTACTGATTACGTACGGTAACACATGATTATGTACTCAACGGTGTGTCGTTGATGATCATCAGTGGTAAAGTAATAAGTAACTTAACAACATATCACATACACATGACTTTTTGATGAAGTTAGTCGGAGAATTATGACGAACATCGTTGTACATACCGATTTGACGAAATATTTTAATTAAACGATTTATTTAAAAATCGTTGATCAAAATTCCTCAGTAAGTCTTGTTTTTTTGTATAAGTCGCGAATAAAAGTCTTAAACTTCCCGTAGGTTATATTATATTATATTTCGTATGGAATGTACACTGCAGTACACATAATAATACTGCTTAGGAAGACATTTTTTTTTAAATGTATTATTTTATAAAAAAAAAACTATTCTGTAGATTGCACTCGGCGTAGTAGATATATTATGCGTGTACGGGGAAAATCTGCAGCTAATTACATTAATAATGTTATGGTTAGAAACGTACTACAATAAAATCCAATAACAAAATCGCTCTGTTTTAGCATATTCGGGAAGACTGTATGAACATAATATACATAACAATAATAATATTATGTATATTAACATACAAGGGTCAAAAGTTTAATTGTTTTAATAATATTATTACAAAATCGTAACGAAATAGAAATTCTAAATTTAATTTGCGCTCGAGTGAACTTATTATTATTCTATATTATTATATTGTTTTTTTTTTTTTATTACATATAATGGCTTTTAAAACTGAAAATAGTAACACGCCGAATCTCTTTTTTTTGTGAAGCAAAATTGTTTTATTTTTAATTACTGCGAGTTGTGGATAATTAAAGTTAAAACTTAATATTACAGCGCACAATTAAAACAAAATACACTACAGCGTTACAGCCCAGGTCGCGCACTGAACCGTAAATATTTTAATTTTAGTTAATTACTTACGACGAGGCAATGGTGGTATAATATTGTTATGTATTGTGACCCACTATGGCTTCGAGTCGGTCAGCTAGACTTTCAGCCGATGTGTGTTTAAAATTGTGCAGTGGGTCGTTGAAAAACGATATTAATATATTATTAGTAATGAAAAATACAAAAGAATCACGGGTCGCGCAAACCTTTTAGTAGGGGCCATTTCGTAATTGATTAAATAAGTCAGCTCGGATTAAGTGAGACTGAACGGAATCATTTAGTTATACACTTTAATTCCCCGGTACCTTGGCCTTTTCGTTTTATGGTCTTCGAGGACTACCGGCATCCAGTATGAAATTCTCGTTAACCATTAGCCATTAATAGCAAGCAAGAGAAAGAGAGTGAGAGAGAGAGACGTGACATAGGCTTAATGCCCGGGCTTAAGACTGTTTGCCGGGCGTACGTAACTACCCATGGGCGTTTTACAGGGTGTATCAGGATCACAAATGCAATATCGGTGTAATATGCAGTTCCGATCCCATACAAATGGGGGTCGGTCAGGCATTTCCCTGTCGCCGTTTCTTCACATCCCTCCACCCGTCTTCATTTATACCATCTACCCACTTTTTCTTCGGTTCGGCTCTACCTGAAATCAACTGGACACGTGACACATTTTTACTGGCAAAGATCAGGGAGGGGGGCTTGGAATAGTAAAAACCTATTGAAACTTCAAATTAGTGCTTTTCAAAATACCTACATTTATTTTTTAGTGATAGATTTGTTGAAATAAAATTAAACGTAGCACTAACTTTAACTTTTAAAGTTTTTAGAATCCTAAGTCCCCCTCCCCTGATCACACCGTTAATGCATAATATCTTGTATATTATTTTACCTGGTTTTATTTTTTTTTGACGTTTTTTGTTTTTGTTTTCAGAACTAAAACAGATCCGGACTTAAAGGAAGGGACGCACGGGTCATGAGTTTTGTTTGGTGGAAAGATTTCCGTAGAAAGCGACCGCCGCCCGATAGGCAAACGTGGAGGAAATTCGATTGCGGCCAACAACCCGTCACAGTACCGATGCCGATTGCCCGCGTTGGCGACCGTCACGCGTTGGCCCATCGGACTTAACGCACGCTCTTCGTTTGCGTTGACGATCAATTCGGCGTGGCCGTTGAAATCCAAAAATAAAAAAGCCATGGTTTCCATGGGCAGCCTTTCTAACCTTTCGGGGGTGGTGTTCAAAATCGACCAGGACGAGTTCGGACTACTGGTCGACCAAAACTCCACCGACTTCCTAAACGGCACCAACAACACGCTCGACCCGAATCGGACGTACTACATATTCGAATCGGTGTATCCGTCCACGTACTCCGTACCGGAAATCGTAGTGGCTTCCGTGTTGGTCATCATGCTCATGATCGTGGTGGTGGTTGGCAACATGCTCGTTATCATTGCCATCGTGACGGAGAAAGCGTTGAAAAACGTGCAAAACTGGTTCATCGCCAGCCTGGCCGTGGCCGATTTCTTTCTAGGGCTGATCATCATGCCGTTCTCGCTTGCTAACGAGCTAATGGGCTACTGGATATTTGGTGACTGGTGGTGCGACATACACGCCGCCCTCGACGTCCTCCTGTGCACCGCGTCCATCATGAACCTGTGCCTGATCGCCCTGGACAGGTATTGGTCCATCACGCAAGCTGTCGACTACCTGAAAAAGCGGACGCCGGCTCGCGCCATCATCATGATCGGCTTTGTTTGGATATTCAGCGGCGTTATTTGCATACCACCTCTGCTCGGTTGGAAAGTCAAAAGAGTGCCTGAGCGATATCCTAAATGCGAGGTAAGAATCCTAAAACAACATATATCGTAGTATATACATATTTTTCAAAAATGACACAAGTCAAAAAGCAAACAAATATGATTTTTATTACAGACTTCCTTACGTAGTCATTAACACGACAATAGCTCAAAAAAACAAATTATGTGACTTGATTCACTTTTGAAACACATATGTCACATATATAACTATATATACTAGAAGTTACTCAAATCAGCTGATAAGTGGTAACATAGCGGCAAAAATTGTGATTGATAGAGACTTACCAGCAAGACATATGCTACTAGCGATTGATAAGGATATATCAGCTATTTAGTAATATGATAGTGATAAAACAAGAAATTGATATAATAGGATAATTTGATGGGTGATTAGAATAGAAGTGAACATTTAATAAGGATTAGTTGCAAACAATTTTCTACAATTTTAATTTCAGAATTATTGTGGAAATGATTATGTTTTGTTGTTGAACATAGAATGAAAATTAGTTCAAAGCCTGAAATTGCGTTTTAATCACTCAAGTCGTAAATTAGGAAATCCTAAAATAACATTAGTTATCTAATTTTCGTATGAGATTGTAAATATACTGGTTTAATAATAAATAAAAAAATAATTTAATAAAGAACTATATAGAATATCGAAATTGAATGCTATAAATTATAGTCGGATTGCCTATAATATTCCTTGCTTGCTTTTAAATATTATAACTTTTAGTACATTCAATTTAAAGGTTCTATCATACACTAAACAAATTAAAATTATTTACTATTTTTTATTTTTATTTTTAGGAGTCTGGAGGTAGGGAAGTTTAATTAATTAAAATTGTTGGTTTACAATAATTTGTTCACCGGATTTAAGGGATCATTTTCGTTATTATTTGAACAAAATTAACTGAATGGTTTAGGTAAAATTCGAGAATTGGTCGAAAATAAAAAGAAAGTTATTATGTTATAATACACAACCGAGGATAGAACCTTAAACCGTTTACGTCTGATGAGAATTACCACTCATCCAATACTTAAATCCTTATTATCGAAAATACAATTTTTTTTTTGCATTTATGCAGTTAACACGATAATTAAACACTCCTGGAAGCTCACAGATTATTTTAGTATTGATTTTATAAAAATCGGTTCAGTAGCTTAAAAGGAAATGGGGAACATACAAACCTACGTACATACATACCACTTAAACCACTTCTTCTTCTTCCGCAATCGGGTAAAAAAACGCTTTAGTAATATTATCTTCAGTTGTTATTGTTGAAATTTGTTTACCATGTAATAGTATATGATAATATACAATATATATCCGACAGTATAAAACCCGAACTAAATGTTTCTATTATAAACCAAAAAATCGCAAAAGGAAAGAAAATAAATATACAAATAGTAAATAAGTTACGCAGCGGGTAGTGTATTTATGGAAATCGATTCAGTGTTATTGTACACTGAACCGAAAAGTAATAATATGTCATATTATTATTGGAAAAAGAAATACCTCATAGGTCCCCAACGGAAAAGTTAAAAAAAAAACATGAAAATCGCAATATTAGATACAAAATAGCAAATAGGAATGTCGATAGTATTACATATATGTATAGGTTCTTTGTTTTTCAAATTATGCCGTTATGCATTTTGTTATTCCAAAGGCGTAAACACGTTTTCAAACAAACGGAATGGAAAACAAACAACAACAGATTAAATTCTGTTAACAAACAATTTTCCCAGTAGCAACGCTAATATGTAAATACATAGAAACAAAAGCAATTTCAAATATTCCAATTTCTATAAATACCAACCTATATGTACAACACAGAGGAGTGCAAAACTCATTTTAAGTTTTAAAAAAATTAAAGCTAAAAAAAATAGTCAAGCGACATACATAATATACATGTTGTGTATTTTTTTATTAAGTATTATGTATTTTAACGGTAACCGTTACCGATAGAAACACCAAAGAAAAAAATTCCATTATAAAAATAAGATTGTACCAAAGAAGAAGGGGGAGAAGGTGCTGATTATGTATTGAATGTAAAAAAAAATTGTATTTATTAACTACCCTCATGAATATTTTCTAAAACTGCAACAGAAATAAAATACCTTTTGCGGCGCTTTATACTAAAATAGTTATTGAAGATATTTAAAATTTATTTTGAAATTTTCCGATGACCTTTGGGCTTAAGGTTTTCATGAAGTTACAGATTAATCTGCAATGCTTTGTATTTATGACACACTCTCTCTCTCTCTCTCTCCGTTGATTTGGTTATTATTGAGGCAGATAGTATTATGTGAATTTAGGTTTCCGAACTCTTTACATATGTCTCCATGTGAGCTTATACTTATAAATTTATTCAGTTAATCGTGTTCGAAAAAGTTTTTAAAGTCGTTGTCCGTTTAACGCATTTGTACGACTTAGGTTATGTTGAAGTCCCGTAGTTGTTTTTTTTCTAAAGCCAATAAAAACAAAATAAAAAATAGGTACTTAAAATATTTCTCCGCGCAAATAGCCCTTTTAATATTTGTACATTTCAATGGTTTGAAAATACTTTATGAAAAATCATACGTCGTTGAGTTTTTGCTTGAAGAATAGCAAAACTGTATTACACCGATGATTTTTAGAGCTCAAAACTGAACCTGAAAATATTTTTGAAAACCTTTTATTATTACAATTTGTTTGGTTGAATCAAAATCTTTCTTCGCTGATTTATTTTCATTCGACATTAAATTTATTATGATAAAATCCAAAACGCACTATAAGCAAACGAGTCAAATGAAACAAATTCAAAATTTGTGGATTAGTTACGTATGTAAATAATAAATATATATATATATATAAATATTGTATACACAACAAGAGAATTTCTACAAATCACAATGTACCTAAATTTATATTCGTTATGCAAAAGAATATCAACAAAAGATATACATAAATTTAATTTTTTTTACGTTTTTTTGAATAGAATACGATTTCAAAAGGGCATGTCATGTTATTATATTGTTGTTTTGCAAATAAGTATGGGCCGTCGCACTAGCAGTTTTATTGTCGGTACACGACCAAAAAAACAACAGAATAAAGTATTATTCTATTTTTGCTCATCAAAAAAAATAGGTTTTTAATACTAAAATAATTAGTAAAAAATAGTTTTTTGAATAAAACGTTGTATTAAATAATCCTTATTGATATTTTACAGTTAAACTTTACAAATGTACCGCCTGTTATAACTTATGACATACAACGACCAAACAGCAAAATGAGTAAATTAATACAAATTTATCGTTAGCTTTTACCGACCAACTTAGTTGTTAGTTAAATAATGTTTATTCTTATTGTTTTATTTTTCCCCATTACTAATAATATATTTATCATTTTTGTATTAATCGTTCATACGATCAATTCCTTCGCATTTTTGGTATAACTAAAATAAATGAACATTTAAATATTAATTTATTAATAAAGAGGCTCTTTTCTCTACACGATCATTAATTTAAGTATAAAGTTAGTTGATTTGAAACGCTACTGATATAATTCTTGTTGATTGAACTATTGCTAATAATATGTTTAACATAAAATAACATACAGTTTTTCTATGTACAACTATTAATTGCTGAGTACTGACTTTTTAATCGAGTACAACCTTTGATCGCCAAACAGGTGGTTTGGGTGCAATCATCAGTTAAAGTTATTTCATTAAAACTATGTCCATGAATTTAATTTAGGTTCTTGGTATGTACAAGATTATAACGTGCCAGAAATAATTGTATACTTCACAGTTCAACCATCCAATTGGGACAGCTGTTGTGCTGAATGTTCTTGTAAGACTTTTTCATTTATCGTTGTTTATATGGAATATGTTTGAGAATACATATGATATGGAGTTTTCGATTTGTGTTGTGTCTTCTCGCCAAATCATATGTTTTCAATTCAAATGAGACCTAAACGTGGGATTGAACCGATTCCTAAACAAGGTTGTGTTCTTTATACAATAAGTGTTGTATGATATCAGTGAGAACAGTCGCTAGTTTGAAGTAAGCAATAATCATTTGCGTTAAAATTCATAACTATAGATTTATAAGTTTGAAAAAAAAACATATTTTTCACTTGAATGTATAACTTGTGACGAGACAGAAAGAACAAGGATGAACTAGTGTTTGTGTGGTTACAGAAAAACAGCAACCATTTTGACCTACTTAATAAGTTATTAGAGAATAACCTTAGCCTTATAGTCAAATCTAGTAAATTCCTAATTGCTTACTGCATCAACCGTTGCCTTAATACAGTTTTTATTTTTTTTTTTAAGTAGCAAAGAAAACCATCAGTTCTTATGTTGTTATATTGTCGTACACTGAAAGTACGAATTTTTTTTGGATTGAGTTATATACCTATAATATTATGTAAATTGTTAAACATTATAAACGTTGAATTTAATCAAATGTTTTTATCGATTATTTAGCGAAACGTAAACATTTAATGGTCAACAATGTTTCATTTGTAATAAAGCCAAAAATATGCTCAGTGAAATGGTAGCTTTTTATTTGTAAAATCTCGATTCGCGCTTTTATATACGCTCTGCATTGTTTCAACCGTGTTATTTTATGATAATAATAAAAAATGGGAACTAATTACATTTTATTCCGCGGTCATAATTCAAGAGTTTCTCATTTAGTAATGAATTTAGTTAAAACGTTTTTTTTTTGCTGCAGAGTTAATACGTTTGTTGTCATATTCGTTTTAAATATAATTAAAAGAAAACATGACAGTTTTGAAACTTTAAAAATAATGTGAATGCTAACTTCACGATCCCCTTCTATATAACTATTGACAAAGTACAACGTGTAGCATGTTGCACAATAAAATAATATAATATGTTTATTTATACAAATGTTACTATATTCATTACCTACCAACTGTACACAGTGGCTACTTAACTATTGCTAGTAGCAGTTTCAAAGCTTGCATAACGTATGATGTATAATATTATCTTACATCCAAAACGAATGTGAATA